ACTTATACATAACAGATACCAATTTGCCTTATTTATTTACTTTCTATTTATAGAAGAATAGTTTAATTCTCATTAGTATTCGATATATGTCTAGATTATTCATACATTAGTTTGAAATTCAAGACATTCATCCGAAGAATGGAATAAACTTATTAAATATTCATTTCAAGAAACTAAACTTTTTCATACGATTTTTTGTCTAAAATAAATGGACTTGTTACAGTTATGCCATTTCTGAATCTTGTAATCGTATGGGAATTGCTTTTTTTATATTTAAGTCCAAATCAAAGCTAATGATCTATAATCATACGTCGTTGAACAGTATTATTTCAGAATACATAGGAACACTGAAGTTACAATCTATTGTATATAGATGCTCTAAAGTATATAATAGTTACCAAATATATCAATAGTTGTCGCTATATGATGTTAGTATTTATTTCTCTGTTGCAATTGGTAGTTTGATTAGCTTCGGACTTTCTATATGCCAAGTCACCAACATCTATTGGCTTGATGATGAGAGAAGAACGAATTTATTCCTAACTGTAGACAATTTTATTTCTTTTAGGTTTATTTGATTTGATAATAAAACGAGTAAAGACAATGGAAGGCTTATATAGACTACCATTTAATGTTGTTCAATGTCCGAATTTAAAATTAAAAAAACCATCATGGATTCGAAAACCTTCCAATACAATGTGAGATTAATTTATTTGTATATAATCAATCTTTTTTCTTTTCATTATTAGGGTTTTATTCGGTTTACTTGTTTCGTATTTTCTCGTTACTGCCGGTGTTATTTATGATATTATCGTTGAACCACCCAGTGTTGGTTAGTAGACTTTATCAATAAAAAAACTAATTGAAAATAATATGCTAATTTTTTTAGGTAGTACAACCGATGAATATGGTCATCATAAACCCGTAGCTTTCATGGCTTGGCGTATTAATGGTCAATATATAATGGAAGGTTTAGCTGCCGCTTTTATGTTTACATTAGGTGGTCTCGGATTTATTTTACTTGATCAAACAAATAAACCAAATATGCCACGTCTTAATCGAGTATTAATGATTCTTTGCTCATTCATATTCATTCTTGTTGCATATTGTGCAACAAAAATATTTATTCGGTAAATTAATTTCTGTAATTTAAAAAAGATACTATAAAGTTTTATTTTTTTAATTTATTTAGTATCAAGATGCCAAGCTACTTAACTTAAATATATACACAAGTTTAATATTTGATTTATATTCTTACTGAACGTTTTGGGACTTCTTTTTTTTTCTTTGTTTGATTTCTACTACGTAGCATTGTTTTTCTTG